TTTTATTTAATTTAAATAAATATTTATTAAATAATAACAAAAATAAAAAGTGCCATTATTTTTGTCCCATACTGTATGTCACATTGTTTTCAGGAGGATATATCTAAAAAATAGAAATCCTATTACTAGTTTTAAAATACAGTACCTAATCTACCAGTCTAATTTTGTACAGAAACAGTTAACCATTAACTATTTCTATAAATTACCTATTACATTATATTTTTTTTCTCATGTAGCTAATGTAACAAAAGGACTTTTATATAATATATGTATATACATATATAATAAATTGTTAAGAAGCCATATTGTACAAGACATTAGTATTAATATGGTACTTGTTTCAAGGTTTCCTATATGGTAGTTAATAGGAGATAAGAGATAATCGATCAGGTTTGATTAAAATAAAGTATAGCCCAGTTTATATATCCAAATATATAGGAAGTTTTAATTAAAAAATTAAATAAGTGTCATAATTTCACTTAATTCAATTACTATAAGACAGCTTTTAGTAATTATTATTATTATTTTTTTTTTATAGTGGAACATGCGCACGGTGTGTGATCTTTATTAATACGTTTATATATCTAGACAGACACCAAGTGTCTCTACAAATTAACCGGAAATCGGTTGGTACAGGATACCCTTTTATGTCTCTACAGTTAATCTGTAGATTAACACTGTCTAGTGCATATATATTACTATAAGACTAGCTATACTAACCACCATTATCTAACTATGTGTCTATTTTAAACACCTCGAGGATGTATTCACATATCAGGCAGGACTTTTGCAGAGGAGGAATCCTATCACTAGTTTAAATCCACTTACAACCTACCAATCCATTATTGCAGAAAGCAAGTTATTATGGAATATTCTATATAGAGACTAACCCCAGTATTCCAGTTATTGTTATCGCTGATCCTCGAAAGATGCTATTAGCATAGCGTCGCACTATCGTTTTTATCACCTGTGGAACTGGCGTTTTTGCTTGAATTCCAATTTAATCTTGTAGATCCTCACTAGACTTACTTGGCTTTTAACAATTTTTGTCTAATCTTCTTATTACTTGTGGCTAATGTCTTGCCCTTCGGTCATATGATTAAGTTCTGTGGAACACCATCATTGGAATAGATCTACAAGCTCCAGATTGGGATAGATCAGCTTAGAATTAATCTCTTTATGTTGTGTGACGAAGTCTGCTGTCGCCAGTTTGGATTAGAGTTTGTGGGCTTATTATCGGAGTTAGACCAGAAATCTTTCCTCATGCAATCTTTCTTGCTTCAACCTGTTTTTAGCCTGTGATCATCAGGAAGACCAGAGGTTCCATCTTCATACAGCCTAAAGCTTTTAGTAATTATTATAGTATTAACTGGATAATCATCATACCACAGTGCCTTTTTAAAGGTCACAATTTCAACATCTGCTGGATTAGCATATGAATTGACTTTTTATAAGAAACAGTACATATCAGATTATAGCACCAGATACTATATTAATACTATTTAACTGTTTTACCTAAAGTTAAACTGGTATTTTGTAATCTGACTTGTGAATTATATAAATTAATTGGGTTTTGTTTTTTTAATAATAATTATTATATTTTTAATTAGAAAAATTTAATTAAAAAGTAAATCTTATTATTGTTTTATAATTCTTTTATACAATAATATCTTTATTTTATTTTTATTACAATCAAACTATTACTTTTGTTTTTTTATTTTAATTTTATTTATATTAAACTATTTAAAAAAATATATTATTAGCAAATAAACTATTTAATAAATTAATAAGAAATTGATTTTAAATTTTTATTATTATATTATAATTTTATATAATATTGAAAACTATTAACTATTAAAATTTGAAGCATGTTATATATTAAATTATATATTGTAATTTTATTTTCTGAAATTTTTTTGCTAATATTATAAAAGCTATACAATATTAATAACTTATTATAAGTTTAATAACAATTACTTGTTTAACATATCTAAAATTAAATATATTAAAAAATATATTAAAAATCAAATTAATAACTTTTAAAAATTAACATTTATAAATGAAATATGGCTTAAATAAAATATTTATATATTATTAGGATAAATTTAGTAATAAGAGAAAATATAACATGTGAAGTATTGTATAATGCTGCATATGATATTTATTATGCATCAGTCATATATAGTTGACAGATATAGAGTTTGTAAAGGTTTGTTAATTTTATATCATGTAACAATAGATTAGAAAAATTTATTGCAATTATATAAATATTCAATATATCTAAAAGAGAAATGCAGAATACAATATAATAAATTAATAAATTAGTGAACTGTATTAAACAATAATTTGTACTTGTGCAATAATAATTAATTGATTATTTTATTTGTTAAAATATTTTAAAATATATAAAAATTTTAAATTGAAGGACTAGAATTAATAAAAAAGACAAGAAGTTAGCCACTACTATAATATCAAGTATTTTTGATTAGACCAAGCAATAAAGATTTATCATAACATAATAGAAATCTTGGCTTGAATTAGTAACAAACTTATTATTGAGAATAACAATATAATATAAATATGAAAAAAATTATAACAAAAGTAATATAACTTTCATTATATAACTGATCATTGTAATGAGAACTGTAAAAAATATGTTATTTCTCTCCTATTTACCCTATTAAATCTTATTGAAGTTAACAAACTTTTATTAAATAAAATACAATTTAGTTATTTTATTTTTAAACAACTTTCACTTCAATAATAATAATATGTTCTTAACAAATACCTCCATTTTGAAAAACTTTTACCAGACTTCATAATTGATTTTGAATTATCTGAATCAATTATAATTTTCAATCTAATTTAATAATGATAATGGGCTCAACCCAACTTTCAATAATGTAACAGGGAAAATGGAACGCGAAGTCAGTCACGTGATCGATCGTCGCGACAATGGTGAGCCGGCTGTGATAATTAGATAATAAAGGAAAAACGGGAAGAATTGTAAAAAAAAAATTTATGTAATCTAGTGTTAGTCATGTCATTGTATTAGCGCCTATTATTCTAGATCTAAGTCGCCATAGCCAGATGTAAAGGAAGAGAAGTACAAATGGCATATAAAATGTAAGAGATAGAGAAGGAGTAGTGGAAAAATAATAAAAGAAATTAATAAAGACTCGGTCAAATAAAACACGCATCTATCACCCTTTCGTTTACTTATCTGACGACGGTTACACGAATCTCTGCTAGAGTGAGCGACAGACTCGCCGCATCGTTACACCGTTACAATACTCTTTAAACCAATTTATAACATTTACACAAATTACTAACAACATTTCAAACTCATCAAAATATCCTTTAACTCAAAAACTTTATAACTATCTTCACTCTTAATGTTAGAAAACATTTTCAAAAAGACAAACTAACAAAACCCATTCACGCTATTACAAATAAAGAAGTATCTTTTGCTGCTTCAAACAAAAGCGATTACAAATAATTATCTTTCAAATAAAATAAACAATCTTCTGACCCTATTGTTCCCACAACAACGTATATTTTATGTTATCTTGCGAGGATTCTAACTTAATATTTGGGTTAGGATCGGGTGTGTATGCATTTCGGAGGTGGATTCAAATATACAGTGTTGTCGTCTGTCGCTAAAACGGCTCACTCTTCGCGTGACGATAATCTGAACGCTTGGATTTCGGCACTAAATAAGGTAAGGCTTTAACTCTGAGGCGGTTACAATTTGGCCGACTTGCGCACTTGCTAATCTCTTCTTGACCGTCTTTCCCTCTAGGCGTGTCTCAAGATTACAAGTGTCACTCTTTACAGTGCAAAGGTAACGTCGCGTCTTTCCTTTTTAAAGGCGTATACTTTAATGTAGTGGAGTGGACTTAGTGTATACTTTAAAGAATGTATCTTGTTTATTGTGCAAAAGCGAAACATCATTTATTTAATAAAGTGCAAGTGTGTCAAAGCAAACAAGGGTTCTGAAAACGAAACTCTAAAGTCGCGGAATTCGAACTCTCTCTGACTTCCCCAAATTACCTAAAACTATTCTATTTATATGCTTTGTCGACGTGTCCATTCCATTACATGTTATTACCAATTATTACATCATTCTACCATCAATGTTACTATTATTACGCGACGCGCCACAATATCGCGTTCCCATCCCTCACAGAAATCTGTCACATGTCAAGTATCGCATCTTATTTTCCTTACAATATACAGTTAACAGTATATTTTTATATTAATGTTTTGCATCTACCATTTATATTTTAATATTTAATGAAATTATTATGATATAATATTTATAAATAAATATTATGAGACATTTATTGTGACGGTCGATCGGCGAGTCTGTCGCTAAAGTGGGGTCGAGTGTCGCGTAACCGTCAATGTGTAAGGAATTTAATGAGTTTTTTAGGCGTGTCCAATTTGGCTGAGTAAAAAGATAATTAATTCACTATCCTTTATTTACTTTTGCTTACATCTTTTAATACATTTTAGTTGGGACAACTTTACATTCTAATACTCAATCACAATGATTTATATTACTTAATCGTTTTTCACGACTATCCCCTCATTACCTAACTTCCTGACACGCTTCTCTACTACTATATTATCCACTTACCATCACTTTTAGCTTGCATCTTTTTTATCACGCTACTTTTAGTACTATGATAGGAACGTGTCCTTCGCACTATGTATCGCGGCGTTTGGTCACGTGACTGGCACGCGTCACCATTGACATTATTCTACTATAGTTACTGTATAACTGTGTGACCACTAGAATTCTATAATACTGATAAATATATAAATGTAAGAAAAAACCTACCCAAAGAAATATATGATACTGTAAATTATTGTAAAATATTTAATTAGGTCATCCAGATTTAGCACATACGCCCGATATATCGCAAGATTTTCCGAATAAGTCGACCCAGAGCGTTGACTGGTCCGATAATACGCCCAGAAAGGCAAAAAGCAATATTATAACAAAACCCGAAAAGCAAAATAATATGTTCCGCTTTTTACCACATTCCGCTGTTTTTTCTCCCTTGATGTGGGAAAGAAAAGCCACGACGGAATTTAAGGACCATATCGAGCAGATGATCGATAAAAACCGACTGCGACAGTGAAATCCCACTGGAGGAGTAAAGTACGCAAAGATTACAGAAGTCCAAGGGGATATTATAGTTAATAGGGCAATGAGTGTAACATAAGTAGATATAATCCTCCCTTTACGTGGATCGGGTTGTTTTACTATTATTAGATCTTTGATTTTCTTACGGGGATCAATGAAGACCACTTTCCCATATATTACCCGCACGTAAATTGCAGGTAATATCCAAGCAAGAGACATGGGAATGTGGGGCCAATCCTGCTCTATGCATTGCCCGACGATTCGCGATATCCCGGAAAATATGCCAACTATAATATGATATGCTGACGCGACGGACGCCAGTCTATCAAGCGCTGATGCCTCGGCAATACAACCCTTCAATAGACTCCTCTGTTCATTCGTAAGAACTAACTCTCGGGCATGGTATCCGAAAACTCTATATGGTATGGGTTCATAGTCATAGTCATCTCCTTCTTCGTTGAACGCAGCCCGATCCTTAACCATCTTGAAACTGGTATGCGGTAACCAATACACGCACATAGCAATTGGATCATGGCCTACGGCGCAAAAGTACATAAGGCCGCAAAAGGGCGACCCGAGGCACCGAAGTATCCATAACACTTTGGTGATTAAACCTTCGTAAGGGGTCGTCCCCACAGTCGCGATTGCTGGGAGACATCCCAGTACATATTGTGGGGCGGGTTCACGTAACTTTATAATTGCGTCTTTAAAACCCATCTTTCTGGAAATTATATGAGACTGAATGATTTAAAACAATGTAATGTTTATTCCAACGTTCGTTCTTTAAAGCTCTTTAAATAACTATGATATGTAGCACAGTGAAGAAAATTCTTTTGACTTTTCTACGGTGAATTTTAATTGACCGTAGTTTCATAGTACAATACATGATACAGTACAAAGAAATAGACATTATGATATTTCTTAATTTAGGTGCGATATACATATATTATGTAAAATACATCCTCATTGAGCATTAAATAAATCTTTTCAAGTTCGAAATTAATTCGGAATTATTTATACGACGATAAGACAGAGTAATAAATATTATATCAAAGACTTAAGCTCGCATCATCTCAAATTACCAGGATTGGCATGATTAAAGTTTTCTGTGATTTGAGTACTACATTAAATCTAAGGCGTTCTTTTTTTGTGCAATTCAGAACCAAATTACAGGATAGCAACATAATGATGGTCACATATTTGCGCCAATAAACAAAAAAAAAAAATTGTATTTATACTGTATATATTTCAGATAATAATATTCATAAAGAATCTCTAGTGTAATTTTATTTATTTTATATCAGTCAAGTAAGTTTAAATAACTTTTATTGGTCATATGTCTACCCTTCCAATTTATGATTGCTATAATGATCCGAAGATTTTCCGAGGATAGAGTAATCACTAACGTTCAATTGGGACTCTATGCATTGTTATGATAGTATGAATGAATTTTTTTCAAATATGGCTAAACAATGGAGACATCTGACACATGATTTTACTGTATCGATGATATATGGAGCGACGATCAATTTTTTTGAATTCCGGTTACATTGTAAGCTCAAAAATAGTTCTTTAAATAATACTACTATGGGTTATTTTTATTGCAATGTTGTGCAATATTTTTGTAATATATTTGTTAATCATAGTGAACTTCAATAAAATAAAATATCTTCCAGTATTAATTAAGATAATCGATTTTTCTAAATCGATTACTCCAGATTTGCACAATGAGATGATAATAAGATTTTACCATGTCTTTAAAATATACAGTATATCGAAATTTTATCAAAATTTAACAAGCAATTAATATTTATACTTATTAATAAAGCAAATCCAATCTGTTGTGGGGGTATAATGACGAGTCAATCTCTAATGATGGTAAGATTTTGCGTAACAACGATAAGGTGGGCATAATCAAAAGATGAATGAAGCTGTTGATTTGGTCGAATATTTAATGTAGAAATTGAGTTGTTATCCTTTATTAACTTTAACTCTCTTTTTATACATCTTTATTTTTTTCACAATCTCTCCTTCCTTACAATTAGATAACGTACGCTGACAACCAGGAACATGTTCTCTCGTGGCAATACAGTATATCATGTGACGAACTTCGCGTCAAAACTTACATTATTGTAAGAAAGTACTATTCTATCTGTAAAAAAAGAGCTAAAAATTATATCTTCTGCAGTTAGTATAAAAAATTACTCAATATAAACAGATATCTATTCAAAGATAAACATCAGAAAAATAAATAGGGTGATATATATCAATTAATAACACCCTAAATATATATTAATTATAATCTCTCCTGCTAATTATTATTGATTTAGATAAAAATTGATATGTATCAAGGTTTATTGATTTTGATTTATAATGATATAATAATTTTTTTAATAATATAAATCATAACTTTTATAATATTGTTATGGTGAAACATGACAAGTCTGTTGCTTCTGTTTTTCCTATGCCATGCAATAATAAGAAATGATTTTTCTTCAAAAGAGACATGTATATTTGGTTTGAGTTTGACAATAATACAGGTTAATCTGTCAACCTTGTGTCATGAATGGTAACCTCCTGCATGATTACTTCTTGGTTAATGATCTTCTCAAGGTAAATAGCCTTTTTGATACATGATTATTTATTCTTTTTGCTTGCTATATTTTTGTATCATTGTCTTACTTTTATACTTTTTATGTCTTTTTACAATTTATATAACTTTATATTTGTTGTTTATATTATACTTAATAATTACTTGCTATTCTTGCTATATCAGATATATAATTTAAAATATCAAAATATACTATAAATACTGGATATTTTGACATATCTATTATATTTTTCTATATATTCTTTTTTTTTTTTTTGAAGGAGCAATTGGCTATCGCGCTATCATTTATTATTATAATTTTAGACTTGCGGGTTACAAG